AGGAAAACAATAATTTAATATTCACCTTCGGGCTTTTTTTGACACTGAATCATGAAGTACTTGACCCTAAAATATTGACCCAGTTTTTATCTACCTTCTTGTTGTATAGTTTTAATCCAATATATTCTGACTGCCATATGAAAAGCCTGCATGAGCACACAGTTGACAAGACATTGGCACTAATTGTTATCACACAGAGTTGAGAAATGGAGAATTGGATTGACTTTCTATCTCAGTGAGACAGCAACAAATTCATCAAAGATTGTCCCTTATCTCCGTAACTGTCAAAGGAGCTGCAGATTAGGTCAGGAGAGATCAAAGACACGGTGCTTTGCTTTCAGCATCTTCACATCCGTGTTCATACTCTGGGAGAAAAACAGCTTTTTGCACAGTTTTTATGAAGAAAAATAACAGTCAAAGAGTAATAATGTAAAACAAGCATTGTTTTAAATACTGAAAACAGAGGAAGACCAGTAAATCAAAACCAGGTGGTGATGTGACCCAGCATCAACACCTTGCATGGTCTGTGAGTTCCCTTCAGACTGGCTTTAACCTGGTCCCTGGACGAAACACCATCACCACATCTATATCATAAAGCATCAAACATTCATTTCAACTTGCACTGTTATAAAGTGCACAATTAGAGCTCTCAATTTAGTATCCTCTGCTGGACTTCTGGTGTGTTAACAAAACTTCCTTTGGAACCAAAACTTGTAATGACTGCAATTGATTGCAGGATTAACCTCAGAACTGAGTTACTGCTTAATGTAAAATGTTGGAGGTACATGCCTAGAATAACACTTGTTTAGATAACTGGTCAAAGATTAACCGCCTCTAAAACAGAGAAGTATGTGACTTAAACAGCGACAGAGAGGGAACTACTCCCATCTATTATCCCAGTCACTGAAATAGGACATAACCCCATGTGCCCCGTGTATATAAAGAAGATCTGGTTGAAAATGTGATGCTTATTCTAGCCTCTAGAACTGTCTGCTCAGTCACTGATAGACCACAGAAGACCAGGAAGAATCTGGAATTATATATATATATATATGAATACACAGGAATTTCTCAGCCTGATTTCAGCAGCTGTAATTTGAGGTGCCAGATCTGAAATTCAGGAGATTTAGATTGGTCCCTTCAAATTGTATGACTTGTTGATTAAACGAGCTGTCAAGTGTATTCTACCTCATCAAAACACTCAAATATTCTAGCAATCCTGGATACAGCATATCATGGAGCCTTAAAAAAGATGATTTAGAAAAGTTTAAGTTATTGTCCTTTTCTTAGCTATTTGCTGTAACAATGTAAAAGTATCATAAAGAACTATTATTGCCTGAAAATTTGGAAGTACACTACTATTTAAAAACATATAAGATGGCCTTAATGTTAAGTCAGAAGACTGTGGTCTTGCCCACCAGAAGATCCAAAATTCTCCTCAAATATTCTATAGTACTTGGGCATCAACTTTGTCTTTGCCTCATACAGAACAGTACTTTGGAGGCAAAAGACATTGGGGTTTTCTGCTTCCTTTTATTCTTTTTATGAGATGTCATCATGCTTTTATTGCCACTTTTCAGAAAAATATCACCAAGTTTAAAGGTCTAAACAGTATTTATTCCTGTTTGTTCTTTCCTATAAATCCTCTAGCCAGATTTATACCAAAAGCAATTTGAAAACTTTTCCAGGGGGACTGCATAAAAAATGCAACCTATAGAATGCTTTTATTCTCTTAGCTGATAATTTTATAATCTTGAAATTTTTTTAAATTTGGTAGATAACAATGTTTCTAGTTATCTATTTGTAGGCACCAAGGGGTTCTATGTGTAAAGCTGAGCAGATACACAGCATAAAATATTTACTGTTTCTCAAATAGCTCATTCCATTTCACCACGTATGATTTTAAGCAAGGACTGTGACTAGAGAGATCTGTAATTTTAAGTAATGCATTCCTACCTTTGAGCTGCAAACTTAATTTCAGCTTCCTACATGGAGAAATAGAGATGCTAAAATTTGTATATAGAAGGGAATGCAACTGGCATTTTCCTGAACAGGGAATATGCACTACACAGTATAGTGTCAGAGCAGATTATATCCCATGAACGCTACCTGTGAATTATAGTGGTATCCACTAGCACTACTGTGGTCACAGGTCTGTCAGCTGTGCCAAGAGTGCTGTTGTTGCTAAGAGGTGTAGGGAGGCAGGAGTGTTGCAGATCAACGACTGACACGTGTTGTTGCTGGAAAATTTTGTATACAGTCTCCTCTGGCTTTTTTTATTCATCTCTCTCCTGTTCTGTTTGAAATAAGCTGCTGTCACATTCAAAGGCAATGTGACAAGGATGCAAGTTCACTTGTACACGTTTGTGTTAGGTTATGTGGAAAAAAGGCTTTTCTGCCCACACACACATGTGTGAGGCATAGGGTCAGGCAGGGGAAGCTCAGTAACCTCATCACCTACACCTGCTCCCTGTCTCAACATGGAGAGTTCCAGGGGAGCATCACCCCGGTGAAGCTGGGGACAACACCGCTCAGACTGAGGGAGGTGCAGGATTTTGTGATGGGACGAAGAGGAGGAATTTCTTAACATTGCATAAGACTTATAATGAAAAATTTAAGGGAGGAGCCAAAAGAGGGGAAACGAAGTGTTTGATGGAATAAGCAAGGGAAAATAGATTAATAAGGTGATAAAAAGGATGATCACATGTGTAGAGTCATGTTAATATATCCATATTCCAGTTCCTCTGTTTGCCTTCCTGGCCATGGTCTGTAACCATCACCACAGTCTGTCCAGTCTTATTTAATTCCTTTTCTACTTCTTCACCTTGGTGAGGGACCTGTGTGTTCTTGGGGTGGGAAGGATGTGAGTGCTAGCAGCTAGAGCCAGACTATGGGTCAAAGGGACTATGTGTCTGTGGTGCCAGTAATTACAGACACACTGCAGAGTGCATACCCTGTGAGTGATTGTGTGTCACCATGCAAACCCCAGCAAATGTCAGGCTGAACAAGTCAGACAGGCAGGTGTGGAAGTGGACTCAAGTTTTGGGTGCATCTGAGTGTGTAGCTCTGGGAGGAGACAGCTACTGGAGGGACCCAGTGGTCAAGGCTGACTGCTAGAGACCACAGGGTCCAGAGACCAACTGAGAGAGAAAAAGAGACTTTGTGTGTGAAACAATCTGATGCACAAGCCAGTCACTGGGGAGACAGAGTGTCTAAGACTGGCTACTGAAGGGATCCACAGAGAAAGTATCTGTGCATCTCTGCATCTGTGTGTGCAGAGGGAGGTCCTGGGGACTGGTACCAGCCTTGGAAGTTGTGTACTCAACTGCCAGAAACTAGAGAGCCTGGGATCCAGAGGAAGCTATTGCGCAGACCGAGTGTCTGAGCCTTGTTGATGGAGGGACCCACCTTGCAAATATATATTTATTCCCATTAATGCATCTTCATCCTTATCAGGCAAGAGGGAAAAGAGGATGAGGTCACCTGTGCTATGATTTTTTCGGTGCTGAGTGTTATAGTTTGATCTGTGTAGCTGGACATGTCTAAATATAAAAACATGATCTGTGAATGCATATGCTCGCTAGGAATGCATGTTCACCTCTAACAGGACAGGAGATTCAGCAACACTAACCATACCTGGCTTCAGCAAGTGCACGGAGAATATGGTTAGCAAAAATGCTTTCTGCATACAAATTCCTCTTACAAATAATATAAAAATAATTATAAAGATGCATAAATATCTTGTTACACAAATAATTGTTAAACATTACACCATATTTTATTCTGTGGCACTTTCAATGTATCATATAGGACGTGCATATAAATCCAAGACAAAAATAACTGAATTTCAAGAGAGAAGTCTACTGTCTGAGTTATCCCCATCTAATTTGTACAGCAATGACCCTGTAGTTGGTATAGTCAACTGAATCAATATCATGCATATTTGAAATACAACAAAGATAAATAAATAGATGTATAACATTGAAAAAGTTTTAAAACTAGAAAGGGCCAAATTCTGTTACATCCATAGAGTTCTCTAGAACAGTATGCACGTGAGACAGGCAGGATTTGGCTTACAGTCAGCATTAACATTCAAGTCTGATGAAATCAATAAAGCTGCTGCCTTAAAATGTAAATGCATGGAAAATAGCAATAAAGACTTCCTCTATACTGAAGATTACTGCCATCACAGCAGAACTATAGGAAGGGATCATGTGAGCACTAAGTAACTTCATGCAAAGTATAACAGATATCTCTGCATAGCTAGAGGTAGAATCCTGGAGGTTCAAGGTTGGGGTGGGGGGGAGAGGAATTCAAGCTCACCTCTTTTTAACTAAATAGTAAAGCAAATACTTTAAAACTGTACTCAAATTTCCTTAATGTACATCTGAATGTACTTGGCACTACTTCAACAACTACAGAAGAAAAGAATTGTAGCCTTTCATTCTTTTGTGAACTGAGCACACAGAGGCTGAAAACTGTACAAAAACTTGCATTCTTTGCATGCTTCAGTGTAGACAACATCTCATAGGATAAGCTGGTATTCCATCACACCTGAATAATATTACATTGCATATGTTAAACCTTCTTGGACATTTCATACTATACAGTAAAATTTACTCCCACAGGTAGTTCTATTACAATCATTAGATTTTTTCACATGAATGCAGGTTCAGTGGATGCGGAAAATTAGTTTCTGCCTCAAGTTTTCTTGTTACCATAAGAGTAAATCACACTATGCTAGTTGAATGTAGATTCCTGTCATTTAACAGGACAAAGGTTTAATAAAAAACATTTATTTACTTTTACAGTACTTTTCAGGTCTGCAGAAACTTTAATCAATAGCTAAAGATTAATTTTCTCTTCTTCTTGGCATCTGTTTACCATGCCTCCAGTTTTAAAGCTTAGAATAGAAATGACTACACCAGTTTTATCACTACCACAAGGTCTCCTGTAAACTACTTAAAGCCATTCAGCCCAATGTCATATCTTCCACCTACAGTCACTTAATGGAGTCCAAGTTTAATCCCTTCTCTGCAGCCAAAAGTGTTTCAGCCCACCAGCCTGTTGGGTCCAGCCAGCGTCCTTGTGCAAATGCAGTGATGTGTTGAAGAGGATGATTCAGGATTTCTGCAAATACAGAGAAGAAAACCTTCAGATCAGAATACAAGGAAGCTGCATTCCAAGATTTGCACTAGATTCTGTTTCTCTGCTGTGCCTAGTGACTAATGCCCAAAAGCACTCCAAGGTGGAGAGTCTGTCCCACAGCTGGTATCAACATAGCTTTATGCCTGCGAGCTCAGGCCTTTGCAAGGAGACAGCAGAGCGGGGCTCCTCCATCTGGGGAGGTTCTGGGCACACACCACCTCTGCCCTCTGCCCTCCGCCCTGGCCAGCTGCTCTGTTCATAGCGCAGACCCAGCCTGCTGCTTTGTACCATACATTAGAGGAAAAATGCCAATAGTTTCTTGGCACCCCAAAGATAGTGTGCCTTCATCCAATTTGAAGCTGTGAATTCCTAGTTCACACAGACAGCTAAATTTAGGAGAAGGTGAGATTTCAGGATATGTTGTTCTTACTCCTAAAACCATTTTCAGAATTTGGGCTTAATCCTCTTTGAATTCACATTCTATTACAATTCTCCAGAAAACCCTGAGAAAGCTTTTTGTTCACTAATTAAGATCTGTTTTAGCTCTAGTAGTTGTAAAAAAAAAAAAAAAAAAAAAAATCTATGGAGCTGAGGGCTTCTCTTATCTAGTTAGAAGTTATATTTAATATTCTGGTCAGTTGTCTTTTGCATATGGATTTGCTAGATAACAGAGCTGCCACATTACAGTAATCCAAAAATTAAGAATAATCATCCACTTAGTAACATTTTTAACCATTTCACTTTCCCAAGTGAGAGTCTTTTCACAAAGGATTACCTTCTTTCCTCTTAAAGCAGCTGATAAAGAATTCTGCACATAAGGTATGCCAAGCACTACTTATTCTTCCTACAATCCAAAATACTGCTGCAACTCACAAAATCATTTATAGCAGATTGTTACAGGTAAAATGGGACATTGCTTTTGTTCTTTCAGGCTTTGTGTGCCCTCAGGCTAGTGATTTACTATACATCCACAATTTTCAGAAGCACTGTCTAAATTTGATATAGCTTAGTCCATAGATGTTCAGTTTCAAACAAATCAGTTCATGTTTTTGGAGATAATTACCTGTCTTTCTATTTGCTATTGTTGTTTCACACAAAGGATTAACTTTCGTTCCAGAAAGGAAGACAATTTCAGCACTACTGCATCAAAGAAAAGGAAAAAAATAACCCTAGCATCTGTACTACCAGTTAATATGTCTATAGACACAAAGGATTTAAAAATTAACTTTTTTTTTCAGAATGAAGTTTCCTAAAATTAAGCAACAGCAAACAGTAAATGTGAATTAGGACAACACAAAGAAATATCTCATGCAAAAGGTGGTCTTTCCTTCCCAGAATGCTGTGTTTGTGATATTTTATTACTTATAGGACTGAAGATTCCAGTAATGCTAGTTTGCCTGCATTTAATCCCCAAAGCTTGAGCAGTAAAAATTTGGGTTAAAACTCGATTCGCTAGATAATTATTTTGCCAAAATCATGTACATTAAAAATTAGCCTATTTTGCCAGTCAGTTTTTGCTCATGCTTAGATATGTCTTGACCTCTGGAACTCTCATTTTGAATTGATTTTGTGTGTCAGGCTTACTGAGTCTGGTATGACAACTCTGGCTTGGGCTTCATTCATTTTAAGTCAGCTGTTATGACAATTTGCAATAATATTGGCTGCACATCAAATCAAGTTGTTTCATGTGGAGTTGGTAGTTTAAACTAAAGTGATAAGTAGTGAAATTTTCAAAATGTTAATATGAATGCTTACTGCTAGTCTTTTGACAAAAATGCTTAACCAGAATTTTGGGATTTTTGGGCTGTTCTACTAGGACAATGAAAGTCTATTTTTGTTTTAAACTTATTTATGCAAAGTCACTTCTAGAAGAGCTCTGGAAACTTGAGAGACACTTTCTTCACTGAAACTTTCTTCAAAAATTATGAATTTGAAAAAACATTAAGTTAATTGTGTGTGAAGCTCATAGATTATTTTGTGAGATGTATAGTATGAGATAAAGGCTTTACTAAGAATAGGGACTCTTCACATATGCAGCTGCAAGATATAATTTCCTTTAATTTTTGGAACTGTAAGAATAACACAACTTGTACCACATTTGACCACTTTGAGAAAGAAGCCTAAAGGACTCAATATCCATTTACATCCAGATCTGTGAGCATCTAGGGAATTTTGATTTCTAACTTAAAGCTTAGAAAAGGATATCTGACACTAAAAAGCAGACATCACATCATGCTCTGTGTGAAACTCATTGCCATGGTTTCAGCATGCTCTGTACACAAGTTGGTCAGGGCTCTTAATTGGCCCTGAATATCACTCGGAGTTAGTGGTAAATAGATGTCTAAGTGTCTCAGACTGAGAAAGCTCTTGGCATACAAAGAGATCAAAACCTGACATGACCACCACCTCTATAAGATATATTTTACTCTCAGTACAAACTTGCCTCTTTCGCAGCCTTGCAACAGTGGTAATCTTTGAAATCTATAGCTTGTGTGTCACATAGAAACTAAAAGGATCCTTTAGTTTGTAATTTGGATGTGAGGACTTGACAAATATGTATCAACTGTTTCCTAGATAAAGCATTTTTTATGTTTCTTTTATATTCTTACCATTAAATATGAGGTGAAGTATATAAATAGAGAAATAGACTGATCAGCTGATTTTATTTCTTTTCATGCTTTCCTGTGCAAAAGTACATTGCAGTGTTACTATAACCAGACCCTGTGAAGGTGTGTAATGCTAACATAGCCAGTATCAGCACCCCCACTATTCTTATCAGCAAGGCTGCTCTGGCAACCTCCTTTCCTACAGTAATTGTCATAACCCATCTTTTCAGAGAGGGAGTCTGACTCACATATCTGCATGCTTATTATGCTGCCATCCTTCAGGGTATCACCACTGCAAAGGATTTGAAAGCCTGAAACAGGACCAGGCAACCCCAGCAGAACCCTGCAAACATTTACATACAATCTTTATGTGTATATGGCTACACATACAAAAATTAGAAAGGAAGCCAGTAAATATATCAGGGAAATGCCTGCTCCAAGGGGAGCCAGCTGAGAACCCATAGCTACAAGCCAAAATCCCTGCTGTTTTTAAATAGATTGGAGGAGGAACAAAAAATGTACAGTGCACAGACAAGATGATGTCCCTTCCAAATTTCAGTAGCTGCCTTTTGCACTGACTTAAAACAGTTCACTGAAATCTTTACAGCACTACAAACAATAGTGTAAAGGCACTTTTTACTACTGTGTCCCTTCTGTTGATATGCCAGCATGCAGTAGCAGTGTACTGTGCAGCCCTGATAGATGCAGAGGTCAAACAGCAGAATGTTATCATCCTCCTGTACCCAGGGCAGACAGGAGGGACCATCAACCTACCAGAATGACTTGAAGCTGCAGTTTTAGCAATGTCCATATTGAAAAGTGACCAATCATAAAAAAGGATTACAACTTAACCATATAGCATGATATGAGATGAATGTCTGTTATTGGCAGAAGAGTCCAAATAAACTACTTTTAGTACTTGCCCTGTGCACAAGTACTATAAGCTTGAATATTTGCAGCCATTCATTTCTGGTATTTATATGCTTAAATTTCATTTTAGAGAGGAAAAGATAGGTATTTATGTATCAGTGGAGAATATAGTTGCTAGCCATTCAAATATGAACAGTTTAGCTCTGTTCCTTTGTTCAAATTGTAATAAAAAGTTCTTAAAAGGTTATTTTAAAAAATTATAATGGTAATTTTGAAAATAAACAAAATTTGATAAGAACAAATTTCTTTCAAAAGTATGAGGATAGTATAATTATAAATAATTTTATTATAATGCTAATTGTTTAACTGTTAAACTTTTCTTTAGTAGACCATTATTTCTGTAGAGATGCACTTTAAATGAAAAATCTTTTTTTTCCTCAATGACAACAAATTTAGCATTTCAGTCATCAGCTACAGTTCTATAAGAGAAATTAACACTTCAGACAAGGTATGTAATAATCCTTTTAAAATAAGAGATTACTAACAGCTATACAATGAACTCAAAAAGAATTGCATACTTCTTTTTCATTTTAATATGAATAATTAAATTTAGAAATACTCATTCCTTTAATATGAGGCTGTTTTATTTTTTTTAAATTTATATAATAGTGGAAAAGTGATCCTATAACTTATAAATCTCTTACTAATTTTGGTACGAAGTCCTATCATAAATTTCAGGGTTTTTTCTGAAAAACGTTCTCTGTACTGCCCGGAGTTTCTTTCTGATAACTCTAATCACCTTTTCACATACTAACTCACCAAAATGAAAATTTCCAAACATTCACCACTTATGACTCTTCAGTTTCCACATCCTTAAGTAGGGTTGTTTTAACCTGGACTCTTTCATGAAATAGCCAAAAATGTGAAGCCTTGGAAAAACTGAATTAGTTTTTACCATGAACTAGTTGGAGGCATCTTCATAGGATATGCAAATCAGGTGTCAGTCATTTCAGAACTATGTTTCAATATAGCTACTGCAGACATTCAGATCTGCTAAAATGTTCCCACATTGGGCAGCTAATAGGCCTTCTGATTCAAAATGTAAGACATTTGCAAGTTTTCCTAAGTTTGTTAAGGCTGTTCTAAAGTATTCCTGTTTTAACTTTATAATATTTCCTGGTCTATACTGCATTGTAACACCAGCCAGTAAATAGATAATTTTTGACTACCATCAAAGTGAGGGTTTTTTACCCAAACAGGAAAAGAAGTCTCAAAGCCACACAAAGATAACACAAGAGAAGGACAAATCAATCAGCTAAAATAGGGCTCTCCTTCAAGTGTTAATGTTCCAGGAGTCACAAAAGGTTAAGTACAAAGGACACAAGACCTTCAGTTTGCTATCTGCAACAAGAATCCAGTAAAGATGCTTTGTAAATACACTTAAATGATGTTCCATGCAGTTCAAGAGGGGAAACAGTGATAAAATCTGTTGAAAAAAAATTCAGA